TTGACCTCTACATATTTTATTTCTTACTGCTTACATTCCAATTTTGACAAAAGTAATTTTTCTTAACAGTAATTTTTGTAAAAAGTAATTTTTACTCTTCAATTTTACTCTTCTTCAATTTTTACTCTTTTTCAGTTTTAAAGTTTGCTGCGTTCATTTAAGATTTCTCTAATATTAATTACTATTATCTTCAATATTTCTATATAACATATGTATGATAATATAGATTTAGTTAAATATTTATTTCAAATTATATTGCACTGAATTACATTGAATTCATCACGTCAGTGGTCAGTTTGACCATCTTATTCAGCTATGTTAGATTTCGACGTTAAATAATTTATTTTTATTAAGGTGGTCGAATATACCCTCGAGCCTAATGCAATTTGCAATACATTATTCGATAGCGTGTCCAAAAAAATTTCATATCAAGCTTCAACCCCATATCTCATTTGGAGGGTAGTAACACGGCAGAATCTTAAAAATATTTTTCCCATTTAGAGACGTACAAAAATTTCGAAAAAATTATAGAAGATGAAGAACTTGGTAATAGATATCACAGAATTTTTTCAGATTTTTTGACCGGAAATTGCAGCAGTGAAAAATGAAAAATAATAAAAAATTTGGAAGAAATACGACTTCTGCTTGAAGATAGAATCACTACTTTTATGTTATAATAATTTAGGGTGGTCAAGATAAAAGAGACTGGAAATCATACCTTCTGTATTCATAGCAACACTCTTTTATCTTGGCCACCCAGTATATTAGCATAACCATTCTCGAGTTACTTTCACATTGTCCCAAAATAAAGTTTCCGTTCTACCTAATGGCGACTAAAAATTCTACTCGCGTGAAAAAGACAAATTTCAGAAAGACAAATTGTGAGAAAGCAAATTTTACTTTGAAAAGACAGATTTTAAATCTAAAAGACAGATTTCACATCTAAAAGAGAAATTCCCCATCGAAAATGCAGATTTCACGAAATAAATCGATCGAATCGCGCCGCAATCCAATCATCTAACAATACCGTGAAAAACAGCATCGCAACATCATCAACTTTCCCTGACGTTTATTTCACGAGGTTGACCAGTTTGTAACGCAATTGTTCTCGGTTTCCCGTTCATTATTTCGTCCGTGAATTCGGCGATCCGCTTCTGTCGCAGCAGGGAAGCAATCCGGAAACAATGGAGGAAGAATAATCGTTATCAATGAGTCGCATCGGATAACAGAATCCGGCCACACGTACGCACTGAAATTCATTGTTTACTAGCCGCATAACACACACACAGAATTCGGATCAATATTTTCACCGATGTGATACAACAAACATTTTCTGCTGAACATATACATGTGGTTTATTCGGAAGCTATCAAATATTCAGGAGGATGTGATCGAATGCCTTCGATAATTTCGCGATACGGGGGCTGTGTTTGATGCAGTTACTCGTTTGACGTTGTTGTTACGTTGTAATGAATGTTAAAGGTTGGGTTAATGTATTTAAGTGGAATGGTGTGGTTATTTTGGGTTTTGGGAATGTGGGGATTTGGGGATTTTGGGGGATTTCGGGGAATTTGGGGGATTTTGGGGATTTTGGGGATTTGGGTACTTAGGGATTTGGGAATTTTGGGGATTTTGGGGATTTTGGGAATTTGGGAATTTAGGAACTTGGGAATTTGGGGAATAGGGAAGTGGGGATTTTGGAATATGAGGAATTGGGAATATGGGAATTTGGAAGTATGAGAATTTTAGGAATATGGGGATTTAGGAATATGGGGATTTGGAAATATGGGGAATTGGAAATATGGGAATTTGGAAGTATGGGAATTTTAGGAATATGGGGAATTGGAAATATAGGGATTTGGGAATATGGGGACTTGGGAGTATGGGAATTTGGGAATATGGGAATTTGGGAATATGGGGATTTGGGAATATGGGAATTTGGGAATATGGGAATTTGGGAATATGGGAATTTGGGAATATGGGAATTTGGGAATATGGGAATTTGGGAATATGGGAATTTGGGAATATGGGAATTTGGGAATATGGGAATTTGGGAATATGGGAATTTGGGAATATGGGAATTTGGGAATATGGGAATTTGGGAATATGGGAATTTGGGAATATGGGAATTTGGGAATATGGGAATTTGGGAATATGGGAATTTGGGAATATGGGAATTTGGGAATATGGGAATTTGGGAATATGGGAATTTGGGAATATGGGAATTTGGGAATATGGGAATTTGGGAATATGGGAATTTGGGAATATGGGAATTTGGGAATATGGGAATTTGGGAATATGGGAATTTGGGAATATGGGAATTTGGGAATATGGGAATTTGGGAATATGGGAATTTGGGAATATGGGAATTTGGGAATATGGGAATTTGGGAATATGGGAATTTGGGAATATGGGAATTTGGGAATATGGGAATTTGGGAATATGGGAATTTGGGAATATGGGAATTTGGGAATATGGGAATTTGGGAATATGGGAATTTGGGAATATGGGAATTTGGGAATATGGGAATTTGGGAATATGGGAATTTGGGAATATGGGAATTTGGGAATATGGGAATTTGGGAATATGGGAATTTGGGAATATGGGAATTTGGGAATATGGGAATTTGGGAATATGGGAATTTGGGAATATGGGAATTTGGGAATATGGGAATTTGGGAATATGGGAATTTGGGAATATGGGAATTTGGGAATATGGGAATTTGGGAATATGGGAATTTGGGAATATGGGAATTTGGGAATATGGGAATTTGGGAATATGGGAATTTGGGAATATGGGAATTTGGGAATATGGGAATTTGGGAATATGGGAATTTGGGAATATGGGAATTTGGGAATATGGGAATTTGGGAATATGGGAATTTGGGAATATGGGAATTTGGGAATATGGGAATTTGGGAATATGGGAATTTGGAAATATAGGAATATGGGTATATGGGGGCTTGGGAATTTTTAGATTTGGAAATATGGGAATTTCAAGAATTTGGGGATTAAGGAATTTCGAGGCTTGAAAATTTGGGAATTTAGATATTTGAGAATCTAGGAATTTGGAAGCTTCGAAATGTACTAGTCTAGTAATTACCTAACTTCCACTTCCCGAATTATAAAACTAAAAAAATGTGAAAACACATGATCAAAAAACTTGATAACTCAAAAATGAATCCCCAAAATTATCTCCTATTACACACATTTCCCTAAATATTCAACCGAATTCAGATAAACCAAACACAGCGTATGCACCTACAATGAAATATTACCAAAGCTTAAGGTATATCAACCGAACATATAAATGCACGTTGACGCAGTTGAATCCACCCTTGGTCAAGAGGCTAAGGGTTAAAAGAAGGGTGTTAACCCGTGTTAGATGTCGTCTGAGTTTTCTCTGACCCCGCTCGCGAATGATTTTCTCGTGTACAAGGAGGATCCTTAGATGGCCTCAGACTTTGATCGTGTGCAGCATTCTTTCACGTCAGTGGCTCGTTGTGGTAGTGAGTCTGCTGATGGCTAAGTTATTTGAGATCCGAGGGTTGAACGCTTATTTTATGGCGATAATGGGAATTGCATCGTATTCATCTGCAGACAGTTTACACGGCCATATAACGGGTGTTCGTTGTTATCTTTAGAACGATTATTTGGATGTGGAAGTAAGTGAATTGGTACGGTTGGGAATTTTGGGGATTTGGAATTTTTGGGAATTTGGGGATTTTGGGAATTTTGGAATTTGGGATTTTTGGGAATTTGGGATTTAGGGAATTTTGAAATTTGGGGATTTAGGGACTTGGGATTTGGGGAATTTGAGATTTGGGGAATTTGGGATTTGGGGAATTTGGAATTTGGAATTTGGGGAACTTGGGATTTGTATATTTGGGGAATTGGGGATTTGGGGAATTGGAGAACCTGGGACTTGGCGAATTTGGGATTTGAGGAATTTGGTATTTGGGGAATTTGGTATTTGGGGAATTTGGTATTTGGGGGGTTTGGTATTTGGGGGATTTTGGATTTGGAGATTTGGGGAATTGGAGAATCTGGGACTTGGCGAATTTGGGATTTGGAGAATTTGGAACTTGAGGAATTTGGGATTTGGGGAACTTGGGATTTGGAGAATTTGGGATTGGGGAGTTTGGGATTTGGGGAATTTGGTATTTGGGGAATTTGGTATTTGGGGGATTTGGGATTTGGGAAATTTAGGATTTGGGGATTTGGGGACTTAGGGACTTGGGGATTTGGGGACTTGGGGATTTGGGGACGTGGGGATTTGGGGACTTGGGGATTTGGGGACTTGGGGATTTGGGGACTTGGGGATTTGGGGATTTGGGGATTTGGGGATTTGGGAATTTGGGGATTTGGGAATTTGGGGACCTGGGAATTTGGGAACTTGGGAATTTGGGGACTTGGGAATTTGGGGACTTGGGAATTTGGGGACTTGGGAATTTGG